AAATGTATGTTTTTATCAAATGCTATGTTTTTCCTCAAATCTTTCTCAGGGAGTAGAGGTAGACATATTTATTTTTAGAAAAACTTTGAATATGCATGTGCAATTCATACACGAACTTCTGCAAAACACTCAGTTTCCTCAGTTGTCTTTGATATGTCACTAGGGAAGAGATCCCAGCTCTGCAATCACAAGGTGCAGCTGACGCTAGCACTTGGGATGTCTTTTGATAATCTCTACAGACGTGACACCTCCCCACTGCCAACAGAATTGGGTATAAATAAACTCCTGCAATCCAATGCCTCTTTGGGCTGCCTACATGGCATGCTGAGTTCAGCAGCAAGATTCAGATGGTGCCCTGGCAATGCCATGTTGTTCAAGTCCAACTCAAGGGTCACCTGGGAGACAAGCAATAGGGCAGCATACTCCTCAGTGCATGTATGAATCCATCCCAAATCTTCCAAACAACTGTCTGACTGACTGACTCTGGAGGAAAGATTAATGTTTTGGTTATGAGTGGATAAGTGACATAAATCATCACAGGAAACAGCAACCTAAATCTGTTAATATCACAATAGCTCTCTTGAGAACCAGACCCCACTTTAACCATGTCCTGTGATACACAACCCACTTTTCTATATTGTTGTTGTTCCTACTGCTACTACTGTATACATCTGTTCACCTCCTTCTGTTTTTCTCTTCTATTTGCCATTTTCTCTCAACGTCTCTGTCCTTCCCTCTTTCCTCTTAATATCATTTGAACATGGGGGTGGGGGGTAAAATTAAATGGTGTTGGCACCACTGATGGGACCACTTGAGGTAAAGGCAAAGCCTACTTGAGAGTCCTCATCCCCAGTGGGCTGAACTACAACTCCCTTTATCCCCGACCATTGACCATGCTAGTTGGGGATGATAAGAGCAGAATGCTAGCAATGCCTTGAGGTCCTCAGTTTCTGCATCCCTAGCCTAGACCTTCAGAGTTAAATAAAAGGATTCTCTCCAAGCTAACAGTTAGTGCCATTCGGCTGGGGCAGCATAGCCAAGAACTGGACTGGTTAGTTCTGTCAATGAGGTATGTTTCAGTCACTGGAAGGATCTCTAAATACCAGTTTCCTTCCTCCATTGCTTTGGAAACAAGAAGAAATACACATCTTTGGCTGCATGCCTTGGAAGAAGAAGAACTGAAGCACTTAACAGAAGGCAGAACATCTGATGATATTTCCGAGTCTTCTTTCCACCCACAGTGGTGGGCAGGTGGATGGTACAGGGCTCTTCTTTGATAGGCCCAGCACTTACGAGTGGGTAATGGATCTTGGCTGTTGCAATGTTCTCCTTTTCTGCATTTCCTTTTTGTGCTTGTGAAAGAAGTGAACTTTGTTCTAATTTTACCCAGGAGATTGTAAGGGAAGCAGCCATTGGACCTTGGAAGGCAGCCAGCAAAATGGCTGGGAATTCTGAACCATCTTTCATTCCAGACACCTCATTCAAGTGCGGTGGAGCAGAGCAAAACATAAAAACTAGCCCAGGAATAAGCCCATTCCCTGCCCGCTTTTAATCTACCAGGGGAGCCCAACTGGTCCAACAGTGAGCCCTCATGTTACTTTGATTTCGAAATAGGATTAATATTATTAATTGCTCACCCTTTACTCTAATGTCCCAATTAAAACACAATGTTTAAAAACAATTCAAAACAACTTAGAATCACAAAAATAAGGTAGGCCCTAAGAATATACATTTCAGGAAACCCAGAAAATGGGGAAGCGCCATGGGTGAGTAGCAGAGTCATCGCTTTCCCTGTTTGATTCCCCTTATCTCCATTTAAAAGGATCTCAAGTAGATGTGCTAGAAAAACCTCTGAATCTTTGGAGAGTTCCTGCCAGTAACAGTAAACAATTCTGGTCTAGATGGACCAATGATCTAACTTGTCGGGAGCTTCATGTTTTCATCCTTACAGGGACAGCAAATGGAAAAGTGTGCCCCGGCAGGCTGCCCGGGAGCTCTGCCAAGAAGATGGGCTCTGAGCTTCTAAGAGAGGAATGGGATTTCACGTACTATTATGGGGATACATGGTGCTCCTGAAAGATGTTGTTTTGGAAGCAGAAAGGTTGGATTTGCCCTTGTCAGATGCATGATGGAAGCATTTTGGGTCTCAAACTGTGATTTGTTAATTAGGTCACACAGACACCTAGATTTGCAGAACAGTCAGGCAATCCATCTTGGAGGTGCCTATTTCCACATAGCCCCCAAGTATTCTTTTAAAAATGTGAATTTCCTGTAAATGTACAAACCGGCAAAGAGACATTGCAATCCTTGATGAAAACAAAACCAAAAGAGAGCAGCCAACAGATAGATTTGTGTGTGGTGCAAATTCACAATCGACAGACAGACAATGACTGGCTGGATGCAGCACTGAAACCACTATTTTATTCGATTATTATTTTTAAAGTATTGACATGAGTTCCCTGCCATGGGAAATCCGTAATCTAAACAGAAAGTGCAGAATGAACCGTCAGGCTGTCGGGAAGGCCTCCTTCTTGGGAGCTTTTTCTTTTTTGATGTCTTCATTACAAACCGATGGGTGACACCTTATTAACAGATGTAGGATGGCAATTAGGAGCCCTGGGATAAGATCTGAAAAACAGGAGCTTGCCCAACACGATGAGGCTTGCATGTGCGACATAAAGAGCTGTGATGATACTTGCTCTAAATTGGTCACTCACAACTCGCGCAGAGTTACTTTCAAAGGATAACTAACACAGTGTGCTAAGGCACTGGCATCTAGGCCTCCACAATGATAGACGGACAGCTAGATAATTGCAGAAGCGGAATTTTAGCCTGTCCTTCTCTCTCATCAGCTTGGGAGAGAAGACCAAATTCTGAGCCAGCACGCAGCATTCAAGCACATGGGTGAAAGACATACAGTCATCTGGCACCAGCAAAAGAACTGTCTCCTTGAACTCTACTCTGGTAGAGTCTTAAGAACAGTTAGATGATTGCCATACATCCTAGACAACTGGTCTAAGAGACACAAGTCCGGGGGCTCAGATGGTATTGAGTGTCTTGATATTTAGGCAGCTGTTGAAGACATTTTTTTTAATTTAGGAAGACTTTCCCTGAAGGGTGACCCAGTCATTTTATGGAAGATGAAGTGTACAAATGTGTAAATTGATTGGTTGCTTTTAATTTATCAAATTTATAAACCTTTGTATTTTGTCTTATTTTACACCACTTCAGTATCTTTTGGTTGTGAAACAAGTTATACAGCTGCAAATAAAATAAAACCATAATGCATCTGTTGCTGGGCTGTATTGTTGATGGGGTTCAAGTATTCAAATGCTTGCCATATAGATATAGATATAGATATAGATATATAATATCCCATAGCATACAAAAACAGGATAGGAAGAGTCTACCCTACTTTTTGCTCTGCTCTCTTGCAGGCTTGCTTTGTTTCTGTAGGAAAGCAATGGGTTGCTCCAAGGAGATCATTCCATCTCCAACAGAATTTTTGCTTGCCAGATGGAACAGGTGGGCAGGAAGTACCACAGTGCTAGCGAGACTTTTTGCACTGGCTTCTACTAGCGCAACAACTTTGTTGAATCCACCCTATTATCCTCTGGCCCTTTCAGAACATGCATCTCAGGAATGCATGCACTGGGTAAATGGAAACGAGAAACTGAGAAGTTTTATTATCATTATTTATTTAATCTGATGTGCCACACGGAGAGCATCTCTAGGTGGCCTACAGTAAAGTTTTAAAACATACAGAATGGTTAAAAGCAGTCATCAACATGGAATGAATCAATACACAAAACATAAAACAAACTCACTAAAAACTTATCAGCATTTGCTTTCTTTTCTGAATTAAGTTTGCGCTGGCGCATTTGACTGTATGGCCATTCCAGACCTTTTTCTCAAGATCCAGCTCTACTACTCAAGATCCTGGGACAATCTACGTCCTTCCCTCCTGCTTTAAAGCAGACCTTATTCAGCCAGACGGCTGGTGCTGCCAAGAGGTCCAGAGGCTGAATGGAGTCAGACTGAAGAAGCTAAATCATTGCAGCCTTCTCTGAACAACACCCCTGAGCCACGTGCTGAAATGACAGACCCCAAGTGGGATGTTTGCCGTTTCCTTCTCCATAAACTTCAACGTGAGGCACAGCCTGAGTTGGCAAGTCTGCTGAGGGGGGAAACAGAAGGTTCCGCCAACTGGTAGCAAAAGTGCCATTTCACAAAACCTGCAAGCAGTGCCTGCCGAAATCTAAAGGAGCCAGAGGAGTAGTGCTTGCTGAATGGGTTTGTTTTTCTACCGTAGTAGTAACTAGCTTTCTCTTTTGATGGGCTTCTATAATGTGTTTTCCCTTCCTGACTTGCATTGGATGGGGCGGGAAGACTAAAGTGACATAAGCCCCACATCTCATTTCTCACAGATCTACTAGGGTAAAGTGTATCAGTAAAATGGTCCTGGTGGATATCCAAGGAGAAACCCAGGCACGCTTCTATGAACACCAATGAACTGACATCTATGGTTAAAAGAAAGCTGAAACTGCAGGCTTTGGGAAATAACCCTGAAGGAGAAGCATTGCTAGACAGTGTTGACAGGACTAGACTGGATGGGCCACTGGCCTGACTCCATATGCTGCGGTTTCTTATAGGAACTTCTTTCTCACTCTCACACTGCTGTGTTGGAGATGGAGGAGAGAATTTTTATCAGGATTGCAGCTGGGATGTGCAGCTGGGGTTAAATGTCCCCAGCGAGTGCAGCCCAGTACATGGGATCTGCCCTGCATGCGGAAGGCCCAGGTCCAACCTCTGGTGTCTTCAGGCGCAGGTGGTAAAAACTGCCTGACACCCTAGAGAGCCACTCCAGTCAGGACAGACACGACTGGACAAGATGAGCCAATGGTTGGACTCAGCATAAGGCAGTTTTCTATGTTCCTACCTGTGTGATAGGATCCCAATGAAAACCTGCACCCCCTCATCTGTGCCCAAACACAACCATGGCTATAGTGGTTCAGTCAGTGGTGCATGAGACTCTTAATCTCAGGGTTGTGGGTTCAAGCCCCACGTTTGGTTAAAAAATAAATAAATCTGCATTGCCTTGTGGTCCCTTCCAGTTCTACAATTCTGTGATTCTGTTATTCTAACTATGCTATTAAAGGAACATTCCTTTTGGTCCTGAGAAGCCAATGGGCTAGGAGCTCTATTGGCTAAGGATGAAGCTTCACTGCCCTTTTTCAACATTGCCACAATTGATGACAAGCAAAACTTTGGTGGGGAGAGGAGCAAATTGTCCAGAAAAGTTACAATTGCAGATTAACTTCGTAAAAATATGAGGCATTATGAAATTATTTTGTTTGCACAATGTATCCAAGTCAGATAGTTTTTCTTGATGCAGTATGAACTTAGGAGTTAGAGCTAACTGGGTTGCTGTTGTTTTTAGCACAGAGCTGAATACATTAAAATGGGTACAAATTACACTTGCAAAAAAATCTTATTTTTCATATAAACACACACACTTGAGTATGAAGAATGATTACCATCGGTATAAATTGGGTTTGCTTTTCCAACATCGCAGACAAACCACACTAAACGGTACTGAATGTATACCTGATGGTCCTTATCACAGGATAGGTGGATTGCCAGAAACACAAAGTGCAAGCAAGTGACCTGTGTGGATCTCAAAAAGAAGACTGTGCTGATGGGGGTGGGGGGAGGAGTAAGCTCAGTTTGCAGTTGTGCAAAAAATGGCCCTTAGTTATTAAAGCATCTTAAAAGGATGACTAACTTTTCCCCCTTCCCCCTCCCTTTTTTTTTAGCAGTGCAGCAGAAAATACAGCATAAGACATCACATGCTGGTTTGCGAAGCGGTAAGCTTCTACCTAACAGCTGCTGCAGCAACAGCTAAAAATGCCGCCGGATGGACAGGCTGCAGCGGCTTCTCAATAACCTAATCCCGTTTTAAGCCTGGAAGGCCAGATTTATGTTGTCATTTGCATAAACGCCGGCGGGACGCTTTGCAAGGGCCTTGTCATTCAAGCGTCTTCTTCCCCTGCTCTCCGTTTGCGAAGGTGGAGTCACGACGGTTCCACTTGGGAGTCTAAGGGGGCAATGGCCCCAGAAGGAGCATCTGCAACAAAAAGACCAGCTAGGCTCCTCACAAAAGAAGCTGTGGCTTCTGCCAGTGACTCATTCAGTTTGATTCAGAGCCTCCCACTCATGAGTAAGTCCCTACGCATGGCATTAAGAGATAAATATAACTTCAGCACCAGCATCCAAATTAGCGCGTAGCATTTAGGTAGATGGGTCGCAAAGCAGCACAAGGTGAGATAATTTACAAACAGGCTTCGGCGAGGAAGATAGCAGCGTTTCTAATGCAGGGAAGAACTTCAGACATTGGCAACAGAAGGCAACTGGACAGGCAAATGAAAGTGTCCACAAATCTTTCGAAAGATAGGGGGAAATTGTTTGGTTCCCTGATTCTGCCTCTCCTCCCACCCACCCTTTAAAAATGAAAGAAAATCCTCATGCAAGGAGATTTTGTGAGAGCCGTCTGGACTTATCACGGAAATCCGTAATTACATACTGCAGGCAATGTGGATTATGGACAAGCTGGGAGGAGAGAGAGATTTTTTATTACCATGAACTGTTGACCTCTCAGACGGGACATTCTCTTTGGAGACTGCATCAGCGCAATTAGGGATATTTCAACCACTTGAGGGACACATTATTTACATCCAGTGGAGATAACCAGTGGGATTATAGGGTGCCCAGACGTGTAGCCAAGAGTTCCCTTTTGAACCAGAATGGCTTGTTAGAGCTAACGTTATTACAAAAGAGAAAACAAAAACTGGAACTCATTTAATGTTATTGCCCAGCTATACAAAAGTGGAAGGAAGCTGGTGGAAAGGAAGTTAACGAACAGACTGCACCTGAAATTGTGAATGGACCCTTTTATTGTGTCTGCCATATTCAAAAGAGCACAGTCAATAGATGAAGCATAAGTCAACAATGCAAGTTGATATATTATATAACGTGGCAGAGTGGAGCAGCTCCTGTCCAAGGTAACAGCCACCTACCCTTTTGGATATTCCATCCCAGGAGAAGCCAATGTGTAGCCATTGCAATGCTACTGAACTACAACTCCCATCAGCCTGATCACTGACCATACTGGCTGGGGCTGGTGGAATCCAACATTACTTGGAGGGCACCACACACGGCTCCATTCTATACCCCTCCCTGTTTTCTATGCCCCACCCACAACAGGCACTTTATATTCTGTGCCAATGACTATGCTCAGTCCTCATTGGCTTATTCTTTTTCTACTTCTTGGAACCTTGGGGTTTCCCCTAACATGCAGATACCTCTCTCTGTGTTCCCCTTTAATTTACAATTTTCTTGGCACTGAACCAGATTATATGCAACTAGACAAGCCCTGGGGAAAGGTAGAAGCAAGAAAGCCCAGGCCAGAGACCATATAACTACCAGCACCTGAAGGGACCTGGCAAGAAGTAGGGGCAGCCCCAGCTTTCCAGGGGCTACTTACTACTTATTCTTTTTTTAAAAAAAAAAAAAAAACCACAACAACCCCCACAGGTGTCAGTGAAGTTAACTCTTTATCAAAAGAAACCAGCAGCTCTTCCCTGTAGGTTTTGCTCCCGTGAGGCAGTTATGAGGACTGAAGGTCCCTGCCTTCCCACCAACGCCTAAGTCCCCTCCTCTCCAGGGTTTTCCCCCAAGCAGAGACTGTGTCTGCTTGCAACCAGTCTCTCCACTGCTCTTTTCATTCCTCTGCATGTTCTGGGGGGGGGGGGGGGAGAAGAGCTGGTTGCAGCAGGAGGAGGAGGAGACTCCCTGGCTTCTTCAGCAGCCTGCCTCGCTGTCTCCTGGACCCCTTCCTCTCCAGCCTCTGACTCAGCTCCTCCCAGTCTGACCCCTCTTCTCCCTCTAATCAACATCCCACCACTGCCAGCAGCTCCTGAAGCCAGCCTAAGAATATTTTGTACCTTTTTGTGTTAATATTGTAAACTGTAAACCACCTTGGGTCCCTTGGCAAAAAGGCAGCATATATATATTTGAAAGAAAGAAAGAAAGTGTTCTGAGATACAACTTCCATTAAGCAGTATGAGCTCTGCAGAGGAAGAACATAAAAAGTAGTGAGTTTTTCTCCCCTGGATTGGAGCAAAGTTCCATCTATTCTTGCATCATCTTCAACAGTAGCCAACCAAATACCTCTGGAACATCACAAACAGGTTATAATGGTTAGACCCATCCCATGTTGATTGGGTCCAAGTACTGGTACTCAAGTATCCTTCCTTACAACATGGAATTTCCATTTAACTATCTGTACTATTAATTTGCCCTAAATATCCAACCAAATGAGTGGCAATTGCCACATTTTGTAAATTAATATACAGAACCATGTCCTTATTTGGGTATTGATCAAGCTAGCAGTCAGTTATATGGCCTGACCCTGATCTGGTACTGTGTGAGAAAACAAGATTTCCTTCTTCAAACCCTTTCCTCCAAAATTGTGTTCTTTTTAATTTTATATGTGAAGTATGCTGAATGTGTGTGTTTGTGTGTGTGTTACGTTTTTGTGAGGTACTGAGGTGAGAGATCACCCCACCTGCATTCTGAAGTGGCATGGTCCGCGGCAGGCTGTATCACATGCTTTTGGCTGAATAGGTAACATTTGTCGCAGCAGAGTAATTAACATGATCGTTCCCAGTCAAACATTAACTCTCACTGCAGCACAGGGCTCAAGAGCCTCTACTTACAACATAGCAAAGAGGACTGAAGGAATCTGGCTTGCTCTGGTTTTGGTGCTTTAAGGCAGTCCAAGCTGAAGAGCTAATAGGCTTTTATGTATGTTTGCACCTATGTCCTAAGAGCCTTAACGAGGAAAGGAGCTGGTTGCTGGGAATGCAGCTGTTTGCTGGGAAGTAGCATCGCTGTGCTATCTATATAGGCATCGGCCTTCCTCCTTGATAAGGTTTTCCACCTCTGAGAACAAACATCTTTGCATAAAAGCTACCTGATATCAAGAGAAAGGCCACACTCTTAAGATGCAGTTCAGGGAGGTGGGGGTTCGAAGGGAGGGCAAATCCTTCCATTATTTTTTGTTTTGTTTCCTGCATTCTTGGTAGCAGCCCTCCAGGATTGGTAATCTCCTGCATTCCAGGCTATAGCTACTTTTCACTACCTTCAGGCCCAAAATCCAATGGAGTCTGCTGGGGTTCCAGGGAAAGATAGGGACTTCCTGCTTTCTGAGCACTGGCTTTATTTTACCCGGGTCATTTGCACGCACACACACATGGAAGGAGCCTCAATGGCGCCCCTCTGTAGGCTTCACCTGAGGCAAAAAACCTGGCTAGTCCCCCTTGTAGCTACGGCTCTGGTGTATGTTTCCCATTCTTCTGCAGTTCTTCCCAGGTAACCATCCTTACTTGGCCTAGGTTGAATGAAATCAGAAAAACAAAAAGTGGAAGCTTTCCTTTCGCACTGAGGCTGGATCTCACCAGCAAATGGGATGCAAGCCCCATGAAGGGATTGTATAAACAAACACAGTGAAAGAAAGAAAGAAAGAAAGAAAGAAAGAAAGAAAGAAAGAAAGAAAGAGAAAGAAAGGCAGGCAGGCATCTGGCAGTCAGCATGAAGGCCGGTGCTGCCAGGAGATATGCCAACCCCTGCGATGGCATTTGACAAAATGTCATTTTAAATGGGTAAGTGTAGTGCTGACTCGTGTCTTTTGTCAGGCTGCTCCTCTTGACAGTGTGATATTTATAGCTGAGGCCTCGGAAGAGATGACTGGTACTCCCAGGGGTTACGAACGGGGAGGCGGACCAGCTTGCACTGGCAAACATAAATATTTGACATGGTGGAAGGAGAGAAGAGGAACGATGTCCCGCTGAGCTAAGGAAAGGCAAGGGTTCTCAGGGTGCCAAGCTGAGCCCCCTGCATGGGACCTCCCCACTGTTTGTTTGTCCTTGCAGAATGCGGACGTTCCACCTAGAGTCTGTGCCAAGAAGCCCTCCATAAAGGGTGGGGGGTAAGGAATTTAAAAAACAGGTTGT